GGCGAGTTTAAAACTTGCAGATCTCAATTTATTCGAGTCGTGGATCTGCAACGACATCAAAATACAGGACACGCTACACTCGAGGATTTTACTAATTCAGCTCTAACTTTCACTCCATAACTGACTTGGTTTTTACTGGGTTATGATTTCGAATAGCATGGGCAGATTACAGTAAGTCATTGGTCACCGGCATAAAATAATTTAACGGCATTGCCGAAGTCGTATTGCTTTACAAATTGTATACTTTTGTATAATTTTGTATACCACCTGCCTAGTCACTGTTTGAGACGAAAAGGTAAAACTTGATAAATATGCAGTATTCAAGTTTGAAATTAATCAGACGCATTTATTCCAGTGAGAAAAATTTCGACGTATACTTGGATCTGTTCATCGTTATTATTATTTTTTAAATAATTATTATTAATTACGAGTAGTTTAGCTCGCATTTGCGAACCACTTTTATAAGCCCGTCGGCCAATCTCAACCTGCCCCCAGTGGTGCGGGAGTCAAAAAAGCACATACACACACATACACACACATCAAGTGGCTACTCTTTAACTGATATTAATTATTTGCGCTATTTACGTTTTCGTTATTATAAAAACGGAAATAGTGCAAACAATTATTATCATACTAGCGTATAGCCCGGCCAAGGCCGTGTTCTAGAGTTCCAGTGGGGGGTGTGCCCAAAGCGAAAAATCCGTCATACTTTACTTTAAATAATTCCCAGTGGAGAGTTTGTCATACTACATACATACATCAGAGTGAGGGTTTGCCCAAGTCATACTGCATTTTAATTAATCTGGTCACATGTCAATTTGATTTCCCCCTGTATGAGTAGTTGAATAGTTAATTACTTAAATTCCCGTCGCGTGGGAGTAACTGCATAGCTAACAATTTAAATTCCCACGCTTCACACTCCCGTTAAGTTCCATAAACCCCGTTAACTTCTACAATTAACGCCAAGCTATTGACGGATTCGGATTCAGCGTCAAAAAAACATTCAAATTGATATGCGACATCACGAATAAGCCATATTTGAACCCCACGGTCACGGGAAGGTCACGGGGGCCTCGCAGGTCAAAACCATTGGCGGCGTTGGATTCAGCGTCAAAAATACATTCGAATTGATATGCCACACGCTGTGGGTGGAGTTTCTCAAACTAAAATAATTAATTAATAGTGTTTATCACGGTCGCTTATCATGATAACCACTATTGATGAGTGATGTATGTATGTATGTATGTATACTGCTCAGCTCACTCACTGTACATTTTCATGCATGCATTCATTCATGCAATCCAGTGGTGGCTTCGCTTCATTCTTTGTCTCCTCTACTTTGTTCTCCTCATTTGCATAATTCTCCACAGCCAGGCAGGCAGGCATACGACAAAATATATCTTGGAATAGACTGTTTCTTTCGCGAGGATGCTTTTTGGACGTGGGAAAACAACTTTTGAACACTCATCCATGCCCACTCTCGTTCTGTTTTTCTCTCCTCTTGTTTACTCAAGTCGAATAATTATACTGGAGAATTAATTATAAATTATAACAAATGTTCCAAATAATTAATAAACTTCAACCTTCCTTCTTTAATTTATTATTTTGAACTGGTTCTTATTCTCTTCTGTAGTGATTGGGGAGTGAATTTTGTAAATTATTTTTGGTAAAATTGCATTATTACGGCCTAGCTCGGATTTATTTCAGTGGACTAGCTCGGATTTGGCTGATAATTTTTGTGTAAATACCTATTATGGTCCCCTGAGCAAGAAAATACTTTTTTTTGCGGCGGTCTCGAAAATTAAAATTTCTAGAAAGCTTCGAAATTTTGTATAAAAATTATTTTTTGCCTCAGATTTTCCTGAAAATGATTTTATAGACTAATTAAACTATGCTGAACAAGAATATGAAGGATTTTTTGAAAAACATTCAATAGTAAAAAAGTTATAAATTATTGAAATTTTGTATACAAATTTTTCTTGGATGTTCCAGAGAATTTCAAGACTTTGTCTCAGTTTCCCACACGATAGGAATATTTTGTGGTAAAATCAGATTTTCGGGGTAAGATGAGATTTCTAGTTTCCAGCACTCCTAGCTAGCTCTCCTAGGTACCACTACTAGCTAGCTCTCCCAGATAGCTCTCCTAGGTAGCACTACTAGCTAGCTCTCCCAGATAGCTCTCCTAGGTAGCACTACTAGCTAGCTCTCCTAGGTAGCACTACTAGCTAGCTCTCCTTTTTCAAAAGCCATTTTCATGAAAATCTAAGAGAAAAATTATTTTTATACAAAATTTCAAAAATTTTTAGAAATTTTATTTTTTGAAACCGCCGCGAAAAAGGTATTTTTATGCATATGGGACCTTAGGGTATTCACACAAAAAATTTCAGTCAAATCCGAGCTAGGCCGCTATACTGAAATTTTACCATAATTTCTATACCAAATTTCAAAAATTGACAACGTTTTTGTTTTTCGAGACCGCCGTGAAAAAATTGAAAACTTATTTCCGCTATTTTGATTAAATTATAACCCATAAAATGAATGATTTTCGTTCAGATCATTTGTTGTATTGTAATATGATGCACACTTTTCTGTGTGGACGTGCTCTGGTGCTAAGTGTGGAAAGGCCCGTGCACCGCACCAAGTTGAGGCAAGTTGAGCTATCTATCTAACAGAGCTACATTTCTTATCGTGTGGCAGGCAGGGAATACGCTGGCTCTTTATGAGTAGTGATGTACACATTGTCAATATTACATAATTTAAGTCGAATCAAATTAATGGCCACCATTTAAATTCAAACACGAATATCAGTAATGTAACGGCAAAATCTTCACTATTCGGTGATTTACAATCAACTTACAAATTGCCGATTTTTTGTTTTTAACTATTGTGCATACCGCGGTATGAACAATTCAAATTGGAAACAAAATTCAAATTTGGGAAATTAAGTAAGGCAAAATGAGAGTGTCCAAATCCCAATTGATTATTGTCAGGTTTTCTCCTCGAAAGACTTTACCACTAAAATTAAATTTGTTGCCATGGTACATACATGAGTATATAGATACATGTATCTAAGAACAGTATCAATTACTTCCACGTGCGTACTAACTTGCTCTCCTTAAACTGGACTTAACCAAATTTCCTCTCCCCAAAATAAATTTCTAATCATTTCATCGCACTTTCCCCGAAATAAGAACAAAGTGAAAGTGAAATGAAATTGTTGTACATTTCGTCGTTCCAAAATACACGTCTCGTTTTAAGATGTTGGATTATTTCGTGGTTTGGTTTTCTCCTCAACGCGTAATCTTGTAAACTTGTTTGGTCTGTGGACGAGGAGGACAAAGTAATTTCTTGTGTCTCTAATTTTCACCAGACCAAGAGACCCGAAATGATAATGATATTACTACTTTGGAAGGAGAGTAAGTGGGATAAAATTACGAGGATCTACCTGTAGATCCAAGGATTGGATTAGACTCGAAACATGGAGAAGGTTTCTTCATCTTGACATAAAATGGCCGAGAGGGAAAGAGAAATTCCTTTGTTGTAAATTAATCGTATTGTTTCTCCCGATGTATTTAAATAATTCAGGAAGAGAAAGCATAGTCTGGCACACTTTTGCCCCACGTGGAGTCGTCTTTGTAATCATATATTTAGATCATTTTAGTTGTAGTTCCCTACATATTTGCGATTTTGGTACGATTTTTATGCAAGTAAATTACAAAGGTGTCTGCTCACGGAAAATGAGACCTGAAACAGAGGACTGCCTCCTCTCCCGAAAAGTGTACATGTTAAATTACTGGCAAAAATAATTTGTAAGTTCCTAATTAGATTAGAAAATTTATTTAAAAAAACAAAGTAAAAATACAAATTCGAAAATTTGAACTTTAACGCCATTTTCAAAAATACAAATTCCAAAATTTGAACTTTAACGCCATTTTCAAAAATACAAATTCCAAAATTTGAACTTTAACGCCATATTAAAAAAAGTATGAAAAATTGGTAAATGTTTAAGCACGAAAGATGATTTTGTTGCTTATGATAAGCAACATGTGAGCTAATAATAATTTGCATGTTATAATAAGCATGTGAGCTAATGATAATATGCCATTATGCAATGCATTAAAGAAAAATATCGATCTAAAGAAAAATATATGGTGTTTTTGATGGGTTAATCAATTTCCCTACTTTTTACAATTAAAATTAAAATACATTTTAAAATAAAAACAACTCAGTATTTTTATTTTTGATTAGCATATTTTCTATTCGATTTATGACCACAAAAGATCCAACTTTAATCAATTATTTAAAGTTGAAAGTTTACAAAGCCGGTGGACACGTATACATGGCATGTTTTGAGACATCATTGTAACGCCAACGTTTTTATGCATAAATAAAACAACCCATTTAAGCCTATATTACGTATATTTACAAACCTGGTTCCCCGGCTAAATTTTATTATCGCAAAGCCACAAATGGTAACATATTTTGCATAATTAATTACTACCAACTTGGTAATAATTATTTTCCCTACATTTTGATAGTAATAATTGTGAACGAAATTCAAATTTGCTCCCAGCCTGGAATTATTTTCTTACACCGCAAAGTGAATTTCACTCTCAATTTCTTGCTACAATACGTTTTCGTACACACGGTTTCAAGATATTGGTCACATATCTGGTAAAACTAGAAAGCTGCAACGACGATTATCCCGTGTTGGTCATCTCATTTGAAATTTGGGACCCTGCACATTAAGATTGAAATTTCGACAGATTTAGGATATAAAAAGTTACGATATGAAAATTTAAAACGGAAATCGTATCAAATTATCCATTGTACTAGAATTTTATATCTGAAATTTTTTTGCAACATTTGTATGTATTGCATCACTTTGGTGTCGATAGAACGAATTAATGATTGATCAATACTCTTCAAAGATTAAATTAGATTGGTAAATGGTAACTGCCCCATGTAGTTAGCTAATGTTTGTGTTTCTGTAATTATAGATTGTCCAAATCAACACCAACCTTGGGCTTATCGGATTCAAAAATTTACCCAAATTGCGAAAAATATTTTCAAACTTCTGATAAAATTGTGCAGTGAAAGTGCTCCAGTGAAACTCTTTTCTCCATAAATCATGCAATCTCCCCCCAATTTCTAACCTCCTAGCTCCTCAAACCTCCACCTCGTCACCCGTCCCTGGACGATGCGAGCTTGGACATGGTCGCCTTCTCCTGGGCCGTGACCTCACCACGACGGCGAGGTCACTGTAAGACTCTCGCCTCGAAAACCACCCTCGTTCCCGTCCTCCTCGTGCTCCTCACCTTCCTCTGGACCGAGTCTCACTCCGCGTCGTCATCGTCATCGTCGCCCATCGTCACGACGAAATATGGACCTTTGAAAGGTGTCCGGTTGCAGTTCAGCTCCAGCTCGGCGCGACATTTGGGTAATTTTTTCCACTTTTCTTTCCAACTTTTCTCACGAAAAGGAAAGTTGTCGAGCTAATTAAATTGCTTGCCTACCAGTGATCGACACCGTCAAGGAGTTGATAATGAATCGCGAGGAGAAAGTCGTCCAGAAAGTTTTGTGTAATGAATGAAGTGGCAATTTCACCGGGTTTTTGAGCGAGAAAGTAATTTGAGCCGGGTCCAGAAGAGCGAAATCTATCGTGCGCCTTATTCCGGGGAGAAAGTCGGAGAAAGCTGAAAAGTTAGGAATGCTGATCTGAAGAAGAGAACTTAACTTTTTTTTACAGAGTTGTAATGATCTCGAGATATTGGAGAGATGGATTTGAGAAGGAGAATTTTCTGTAAGGTGTCTGCCTTCAGTTGGGTTTTGTTTTTTGGGTAGGAGGATTTTGTTATCGGCGGAATTAATACGAAGAGTCGGATTCACCATGAAAGTGAAAGAGTGGATGAAGAAGAAAAGTTGTTATTTTTGAGGGATTGATTTTAAGAGGGGTTTTGCTTTTGGTAGAATTGTGAGGGTTTGATTTCAAATGGAATGTGAAATGGAGTTTTTTGCAGGGATAAATTTAGATGAGCTACTTTGCACAAGGGGGATAATATTTACTTGGATTTTGTAACAAACTGTTTTGTTATTGGTAAACTATAGTTCGAATAATTCTTGAAAAATCGTGACAGGTAAATTTTCGACCAAGTTTGGAAATATTTTTCAATTCCCTTCCTCTAGTCTTAGGGTCATTAAATTGAGTATGTCAATCAAATTGGTAAAAAGTACTACCAAATTATTACGACCAAAAGAAGTGCACCAAGCCGGTATAATAATGATGTAACTGGTAAATTTCAATACTCGTGCCGCGGTAACAAATTATTTAGTGTGCACTCACAAAAAATTGTAAACAGTACAAAAATCGCTAATTGTTTTCTCTTGGCATGAAAATGCATCCACGATTTGAAGGATGGATTGTGGGCCATTAGCGGAAAAGGACGGCTCCGTTACATAATCACGACAAGAAGGAAATGGTCCGCCAAAACATTTACTTTGTTGGTTTTGGGTCATCTTCCTAACGACTGCTGGAATGGAGGATAATTTACTGGACCAGACTCATCCTTAGGGTTCCCAACATGTTTTTTTCTTGATGTAGGAATCGACATGTTTCCAGCGTTTTATGCATTTTTATTTCCGAACTAATAGAAAGAGATCGCTCTGGGAGACGTTGTGTTGCAAAACATCATGCAATTTAACCATGCTATTTTTGCATGTGCGAAGAACATATGATTTTTCTTAGTTAGATTGGTTCATCAAATTTTGTCAATTTTTGTATCTTTGTAATTGCATAATTTTTGTGCCCTTGCCTAATTCTTCATAAGATTAGGATATTTTACCAACAACGTTAGGTAGGTAACCCGCGGTATAACAGTATAATTCTAGCACAAAAGTAGGCATGAAATGAAATTATATAACTATGTTTTTTTACAAACTCTGAAGACCAATGTCCTGAATTGCATAGCTTTATAACTTCGGAAGATAATCCGTCGTAGCTTAGATAATCCGGAAATTAAGAATCTATGCAACTACTGCCACCATGTTTGCTTTAAACATTGATGTACACATTACTTTAGCCATTTTTTTATGAGGTTGACATTGTTTTGCAAACTTGAGACAGAAAGTTACATCAAATTTGTATAAAAATCATGACAAGGATAAAGTTCTGCTGACAAAGCAATAAGACCTGTGGAAAATTGTTTGCAAAAAACGTCCCAGAATTTAATTCAGAGTTGATTCTTTAGTTTCTTATGTTTACAAAAGTTCAACATTGTTTAAGCAACAGAACTTTGTTTATGTAAAATTTAATCGAACTTATCGCGTCGTTTTCCTCCGGGGTAAAAAACAATACAATGCCAGCTTATCGGTTACATAATCATAACGATTCTATCTTTCTTCTGAATCAACTTTCTCCTTAAGTTAAAGAAGCTTTTCCATAAAATTTATTCAAAACCATCTAAAACTAAAATTATTTTTCTAAAATAATCTAATCCAGCTTACGCAAATATTCGATCATCCCGTTCAAAAAAGTCCACTCCACCCCTGCAATTTTGTTCAAACTTTGAGTCACACTTGGGAGTGAAAGTCTGTCCAATATTACCTCACTTGCATCGGATGAGTGATGCATTCTTTTCCTCCGCAGGGAAATGTGCACCCATAACAGTTTGACTTTCACTCTCCGCCAAACTTTTTCCCCAACCACGTGACGAGATGAGATCCTTTCCCTCCAAGAAAAAAATAAGTTATTGGCAGAGGACGGTTATGTATTTACGAAAAATCCAAAAATGTGTATTTTTGAAATTCGTGCTCTGGATTTTTTTCAGTTCCAATTTCTCTGAGCAAAATAAAATCGTATACATTTTGAAGGAACTTTCCCATGGTTTGATTTTTTAAATAAGAGACTTTTTTACACGTAACGCTTATGGTGGGAACAGTCTCTTGTTCAATAAATCAAACCAGAAACGTTTACGTATTTGTCAGGTAATGTTTTATATAATTAACTATAATGCATTTATTAAAGCTGTAGCATTTCTAGCATACAAACCTTATTGAAAAAATGCTACGGCTTTAAAGATGAACTATATTCGCGAATGCCTAAAAACTTGTAGCAATATGTAAATATTGCTTTGGGATTAATAATAGTTAGGCAACACACCCACACAGTTTTACTTTTAGTCATCATAAAATGGAATAGTTTAAAATTAATAAATATCCGCCGTCTGGTCATTCGTGGTGAGGGTTAGTTTTGTAAAAAGAAAAAGAAATGTAGAATTTTCAGCATGGAGGAGAAAGTAGTCTCTCACTTTTGAGGATTATTACCCCCGTTGTCATCTGGTCTGGTGGTGGATCCTTTATCTCGTCGTCATGGCCAGGATCCAATTTTGTGGAGCGATTCAGCAGACGGCAAAGTTGAGGATGTATGCATTGTTGTAATAATGGCGATATTATGATTATTACAGTCGCACAAGGAGACAGAGAGAGCGGGTTCTGGGTTTTGATCCCTATTTGGCAGGGGAGAAAGTGTAATTGTGGGGAATGTAAAAAAATAATAAAAATTGAGCAAAGTTTCTGAGGAGATTGGGATATGAATGTGCAATCGGAGGTTGTAAAAAGAGGGAGCAAACTCTTAATAATCAGGTAGAGTGGCGAGGGTAATAATTTCATATTTTGCTACATGTACTATTAGGTGAAAGGTCACCACTTGATAAAAGTTCACTACATTTTTCTAAGACTTATGTACATAGTTATTACCACGCGGTATATTTTTATTATTACCAATTCCGGTAGTACCATATATTGACACCGTCTGGTAATAACATACCACCAAATTATTTGCACTGTAGGCACCACAATATAAAAATTTTCCGTAATTTGGTATAAAATTGCCAAGATGAGCATGTGAAATTTTGTCGGAAAACTTCTATCATTTGTACGCCACTTTAATAAGTTGGGAACTATTCGATATGTAATTAAACAAAAGGTAATGAGGGAATTGAGGGTAAGATTCACTATCAATATTCACTCTCACTTCTCTCCTTATCTTTTTTATCATTTAAATTGTTGGATTTGTTCCCACCTTAGGATTTTTTAAATACAGGAAAACCATTGAGGAAAGTTTGAAAAAAAAATTCCCAAAAACTGGGTAGAAAAATTATATTTGATTTATCAGCACGGCTAGTTGCGACTTTGTAAAAAAATATTGCAAATACCGAAATAAATATTTATAAATAGATGCATTCATTATAAAATCAGACAAACAAGAATATAAATTAGCAAATTATTAGTTCACACAAAACTTATGAGATTATGACGCCATTTTCAATATTTGGAAAAATATTGACCGTAACAGTAAACAAAAGGTAGCGCGGTGTCATGTAGGTATTTAGTAATTATTATGAATGAATAAACGCTACTTATGATTAGTGCAACTTTTGTTAAATCACCATAATCTGCGAAATCCAATTTTACAAAAATATTGACAAATATTAACATTTTAATCCACTCTTGTATGGTAATCGTTATAATTATATACATTAGTTTATACCATTTTATTCAAACTTTTTAAAAATTATATAACAAAAATCGGATATAAAAGTGGTCATAAATCATGTAAACCAATTTTTCAAAATTCACAACTTGCTTTGGGTTGTTAAGTTTAGTAATGATTCGAACGCGTAATAAATATTCTTCAGAAAATACTACTCAAAATTTTATAAATCCACAACTTTAGGCTTACAATTGCCAAGTTAGTATATCCATTGTGTAATAATTGTAGCTTGAAGAGAAAGTAAACGGCGGTAAAAAACATGTTACAAACAACACAAAATGAGAAAGTGGTATCACAAAGGTTGAAATAATGGGAGTGGGCATATTTTATACCCCTACAAAATTTCCCTCCAAACTTAAAATCCATTCACATCCAACTTTTACCTTTCCTAATAGAGCCAGAAGCCAGTTGAACTCGTTTTAACACATTTTGTTTATTTGTTATTTTATTCTCTATCGGAATTGCGGCCTGGCGTGACATGACACAAAACTCGTTGTGATCTCTGCCAACGTGCATACGTAGGAGAGAATGGATAATAATCATAACATAATAATAACTCGGAACGGAAGAGAAAGGGGGTGGTTCGAAAGGATGAGCAGAATGGCGGACGAAACCCCGTTTTAATATCACTCACAGCTCAACTAAACTGCAAAACCGTGTCTGAAACCGCAATGGGAGAGAGTTTAATCACATTTCATTTTCATTTGTGTCCATGTTTTCCCTGCATTCCGGGCCTCCTGCTCGTTGCGATGGTCATGCTGAATCGTGTGCGTTATTAATATTGCGTCATATCTGGTAGCCAAAAGTGGTGGAAAACTGGAGTGGATGAGATGAGAAGCAGAAGAGAGGAAGTTATGAGTGTGCTATAGATGAGGAGAAAGTCAAAGGGGGAATTGTGCATATACATTTCTTGTGGAGGGAAAGTAATTGGTGAGAATTTTGTTAAGATGTTTTAGGAAAAAAGATCCGGAGACTATTTCTAAATGTTGAAAATTCTAGTTATTTTTGAAGTGTATAATTTTATGTTAGAAAACATGCTGAGAATTCAGGATTTTTCAAATTTAATCACTTTTTTAAAACCCTTGAAATTCAGACATTTCCAGCAAAAACCAGGAGCAATTTAAGCAAGATAAATTTGGTGGAAATGCAAAATCTTCAAGTCAGATCAGATCAGATCAGATATCAGATCAGATACACGATTATCTGATCTGTTCGGAACTATAAAATTCTGTTCTATTTCAAAATTTCTGGATAAACCTTTCAACCGATTTTGAGTCGCACGGAAAATTTACACTTTCTTCCTGAAAGAAGAAAGCATAATTCGCAAATATTTTTTTCCCTGGCCAGTCCACAAAATTGTATTTTTTTCCTCTGTCACCACCCGTAGCCGGAAGGAAGAAAAGTGCGAAAAAATTCAAGCCTTTCCTCTTGGCGTCGATGCACTTTTTTTCTTTCGGAAAAAGAAAAATGCAAGGTTAGCAGGAAGTCGGTGTTTTGGTTGGCTTGTGATTCTAATTTTGCTGCTGGGCAGTTGTGCGTTTTCTATTTGTGGTCGTGGCTGGTGGGCTGTTGTGGTCCACGTGTATGCAGAGGAGGGTCCAGTAATGGGACCCTCGTGGCTGCTTTACTGCCGCTCAGTTCCCATTAGGAATTATTTGTTTGTGGTCTTCTCTCGCGTCCACTTTGGGATCGTCGACTCCCTTTTTAATGGGAGAAAGACACCCTTAAAAAATTTGGAGATTTCATACACTCTAAGAAATCTGGTATTAAATCATTACTGACCAGCGAACGTATGTGACTCTGCCGGCACAGTAATAACGAACACTACCGTCCAGTGTTGTGGTAATGAAAAATTTACCACTCACAAACAAATAACTACCAATCCGGTAAGAAGTTATTACCAAGTCAATACCAGCACGGAGTATCTATGTGACTTTACCAGATTTTTAACCGTGTATAAACTGTAAATTGCTGCCAATTCCGATTAGTCACAAAATTGAGAGGGAAAAATTTGTAAAAAATACCTGTTCGGTGCCACAATCTGGCCGGTAATAAAAGTAAAAATGGCCGGTAACAAAAATTGGGCAGACAATTGGGCTGAAATTATTATTGCACCAATCTATAAAAAAGGCGACAAACAAAACCCTATTAATTACCGTCCAATTTCTCTTGTTAATACCGGCCTGAAACTGTACACGATGCTAATGACAAATAGACTAAATGCATGGTGTGATAAAAATGACAAAGTGTCACAGTTTCAGGCAGCATATAGGAAAGGAATGGGATGTGAAGATCACATTTTCGTCCTGAATTCAATTTTACAAAATAATTTGAGAAACAGGAAAGGGAAAGTATACGCATTATTTGTCGATTTAAGGGCTGCCTTTGACCGAATTCAACATGACAAGCTTTGGTTCAAACTAAAGAGGGCTGGTTTAAGCGACAAAATGCTTAAAGTTATTAAAGATATATATTCTAAAGCTAAGGCCAAAATTCGAACTTCTGATGGGGAAAGTAATTTCTTTCCCTTCAAGAAGGCTGTCCTTCAGGGTGAGACCTTAAGTCCAAAATTGTATACTCTCCAAATGAATGACTTGTTTGACATTATGCATGAATCCGAAATAGCTACTATTAATATTGGTACAGCAGAAATACATCTACTTTGCTACGCTGATGATATTATCTTGCTTTCTACAAACGCTATCGACTTACAGCAAAAAATTGACTTACTTAGAGAATATCTGACAGAAAATGACATGAAAATAAATCTTACAAAAACAAATGGGTTGGTTTTCAGATGTGGGAAACCCAAGAAAATTCAACCAATTCTGTTCTGGGGGAATGATAAAATTGAAATTGCAAGTAGTTATAAATACCTAGGAGTAGATTTTAAAAATAATATGGATTATAATGAGATGTGCAATTCGTTCGTATTAAAAGCTAAACAAGCTGAAAATCAGCTTTATGGACTATTTTACCGAGCAAAAATTAACACACTTGAAACAAGACTTAAGCTATTTGATTCATTAACGAGATCTGTTTTATTATATTGCTCACATTTATGGGGATTAGGAACGATGGACAAACTAATCATGGTTCAATCTAAATTCCTAAGAAAATTGTTTTATCTGCCGAATTGTGCCCCATTATGGTTTCTGAGATTAGAGACGAATTGTTATCCAATTCAACTTTGTGTCATAAAAAATGCATTGAATTTTGTGCTGAGAATACTGCAAAGACCTCCAGATAGTGTAATAAGACAAGTATTTAAAAATTTGGTTAATAATTGTAGTTTTAGTAAGAATAAAATGAGATACAATTGGTACCGTGATCTGATAGGATATTTAGCGAAATATGAATGTGATGTACTCTTTTCCTTCGATATTAATGATATAAATATTGAGACGATTAATAGATTAAGGAAACAAATGTATAAAATTATTGACATAATTAAAAACAAAATAGTAGAGGAAGATATATCTCGAATGCAATGTTCAAGTAGCTTATCTCATTACAAATATATTAGAAAAAATGTCCGAGTAGAAAGTTTTTTGAAAGATAACATACAATGGAGTTTGGTTAAATTATGGGTTCAGTTAAGGCTCATGTTTCCTAGATTTACAGTTAAAAGTAAAACAGTAATATTAAACGGAATGAATTTGATCTACAAAAATGATATAAACCCTATTTGCAATCTATGTAAAGACGGAGTAGAAGATTTATACCATTTTATATGTAAATGTCAGAATTATGCTCTTATGCGAAGCACACTAAGTACGAAGCTTGCTCAATCTATTCCTGCGAGTAGAGAAGACTTTGTGAGGTTCGTTGCAGACATGAATGAGACAAAACTAAAACTTATTTCTACATTTTTAACACAAGCAAATGAAATTCGAGAGACTTGACAAATGATTGATACCTAAACAATATGGTGCTAAACTAGTATCTGAACTTATTTATGTATGCATTTTTTATTTATCTATAATATTTACTAAATAATTTAAAATTATGTGTATAATTGTAAAGGCCGTATGGCCACATCAATTCAGTTTAATAAAAACCTACCTACCTACCTACCTAAGTAAACTATGAATGAATTTTAAAAAATCTGAGTTTTTATTTTCTTAGCCACTGGGAATTTTTAATTTGAATTGATTTTTTTGCAAATTAAAAATGAAAAATTATGTTGTCAATTTTATAATTAGAGGAATTTTCAGAATTTACTAGATATGATACAATTTTTAGAATTTGATATGACTGCATTTGTAGCTCAATTTTTCAAATTTAGTTTAAATTTCCACTCGAATTTCCAAAATTATCCCACAAAGAGTCATAATTCCCTCTTAAATTAGTCCATTTACTGGGAGAATCACGTCCTCAGTTGGTGAAAGCACGGCACGACGACTTTTTCCTCCGCTAATTGTTCTCATCCAGACGATTTCCAAATCCGAAATGGGAACGAGGCGGGCTAAGCTGTTACTCTCGTCGTTACAATGTCATCCAACAATTCCGAATTAAACGTGGTTGGCGGGAAATAAAGGAATAAACGGAAATTATTATGGCCCATCTTCATCCATTTTAGGCCAGTAAAATTAAATTGGTTGCTTATTCGGGTTTATGTATGGAGGCAGTTCTTCCCCGTTTACGGCGTGGATTTACACTGTAAACAATCCGGTGACAAAATGTTCCTCCAAAAACAGTGGTTCCATCAATTTGTGGTATTAAATTGTTACAGACTGATGACAAATTTGAATTGCACGGTAAATAAGTATGGACATATTTGCAGGTCGTCGTGATTAAATACCTCACGTAGCATGAATTACTTTAACGTCGAAATTTTGTATTTTTTGGAATGCATATTAAAATTAACATTATTTTAGATTAATCCTCATTTTTACTTGGTCAAGAATTCAAACGTCAAGTATTTTATTTTTATGTATATAAATATGTATATTTCTCCAACTTTTTTAAATATTTTTCAAAACTTACAAATCTAGTAAACACGTGCATATTTTTAGGCTATCGTAATTAATATACCTTTAGTAATAAAAAAAATTGCATAAATTATTTTAACGTCAGAATGAGCATTTTTAAGAATTTTAGTGTGAGTTAAGATTAGGATTAGATGCTTCATTGTCCCATGCATTGAGTGTGTTTACTTCAAACGGTAAATTTTGAACTATAGTTTCTGAATTTCTCAAGACTTTTCTATAACTAGGAATTCTTCGAACTTCATAAATTTATCAGAGTTTTGTAACTTTTTCGAAAATAGTGACGCTTGATTTTGAAAATTGAGTATTGAATAAATATTCTGCTTTTAATTTTCTGAAATTGCAACATCTGTGTCCCGATGATCAATTAAATTATACAGACTCTACTTCGTTAATTAGAATGCATTTGGAAACGATTAGCTAAAATGTGTTAATCTCATCTGAAATGTAATTTGTGTTTTATTAACAACAAAAATTAATTTTTCGGATAGAAAATGTAACAAATTTTAACCAATTTTGAATGTTTTTTCTACAGATCCGGTCACTGCTTATCTTGGGATTCCGTACGCGTCTCCACCGATAAATGCATACCGTTTCATGCCGCCCGTGGCTCCCCTGCCATGGCGGGAAACTCGGCCTGCGATGACACCTCCGCCCGCGTGTCCGCAACGCTTCCCGGACATTTCGAACCGGACGCGGGCGCTGGAAACGATGACGGAACGACGCTACCTTTTTCTCTCGAAGCTTATTCCTCATCTTGCCAATCAGAGTGAAGACTGTCTTTATCTCAACTTTTACGTCCCCACAAGCCCACCAGGTGAGCCCGGTTCAAAATTATGACAAAAATTAACGCGAGTTTTAAGAAGTTTCTAAAAACATATTTTGCAAATTTTGTGTCTTGGATCAACAAATCTTAGTTTTTAACTTTGCACGTTACAATATTAAAAATTCCCTATTTCGACGTAGGTACTTTGCATATTTAGGAAATTCACATGAATTTTTGTAGTTACGATATTATGAATTCCTATTTTAATTGTTTAGATTATTCATATTTATGGACAATGTAGCGATTTAGATCACGCTACAAAAAGGAATTGAATGAATAAATGAAAATGATAAGTACACGTGTGCATGAATAATTAATATAATTGCAAATTTGGTGTGAAATTAAAAATGAAAGTTCTGTAAATTTACGAATTTACCTACCGCGTAACACGTACTTATAAAAATTCAAACCTGTTTTCGAATAGTAAAGCGTCCATCCATATGACCAATCCATCTGCTGGTCAAGCTTTAAGATAAATGCTATTGACTGGGAAATTTGTATTTGGGTGTCAAATAGTTTTGTGTACAAAGTGGCGGTGGGTAAAATAATGTTTTTTGACATAATGTGCCACGATTTCCTACACGTGTCATTCTTCTTGACCAATTAAATAAGATTATATTTGCAGTGATGGGGGATCGAAACCTATAGAATCCCTTAAGATATTTGTTTTAACGGACAAATTATTCCTTTCGACGTCATTACTCGTCATATTTTCAGTGTGAGGTTAATTATTTATGACATTTTTAGAAGTTCTCGCCAACAAATCGTTCAATAGACGATAAGACTTTAGTGTTGCAACTAAAGTTCAAGTTTGTAAAAAAAAATTTAAAGTTCCGGAATGAGGTAGTTATCAAAAAAAATAATTAAAAGGTTCAGAACCATTATGATCTCAATATTCACTAACTGAGTAAAAATTAGTGAAATCTATCCCTAATGAGAAATAAATTATATAAAAAATGGCCCTAAATATATCACGTGATCGACTTTGCTGATTTCCTAGGCCTCACGATCCAATAATTCCAATGCTACAATTGTCGTGGCACGGAGACAAGAACTTTCAAGAGCTTGCAATTCTACCCTTTCCGTCCATCAAACGATTTGAAATCAAGAAATATGATGAATAATGACGCCGGAAGGATTAATGTGTAAAATAAATCTTTGACGTAAATATTTAAATTTAAGTGATAAGTCCCGTTGTCAAAAGTTTCAACTGCGACCGGTCAAGAATAGAATCGTGGGTTGACCTCCGACCTAAACTGATCACATCACCGCTGAACACAGCAAAAAACGTATTTTTCAAACTTTCCCTTGTAATTAATATTTCCCCCTGAAACGCAAACTTGCCTCAAAAGAGAATAGGACACGCTTTCACTTTAACTTGAAAATCATCTCATTAGTCTTTTCTCCACTAATTTATGAGTCTTCGTCTCAGAACTCAAGTAAATTTGTCCTTTCCCTTTACTTTCCACTTGAAAGGTTTCAATTGAATTTGTGCGGAGATTGGAGAAAGCGAAAGCCGGATAAGATAATCGGTTAAGAGAAAAGGTGAAAAATGATGAGAGTCTCGCGAGGAATTTATTTATTTCGGGGGAAGAAAGCCAAAGTGAAAGTGGAGAATTGTGCCGCGATGGCTTAAGCTTTAACACGAGATAATGGAGGACTTTCTGAATGGTGGATTTGTCGGAGAAAGTGCTGGTGAAAGGAGGCAGCGACGATGGGTTGGACTGTAATTTTCAACCAGTTGTTTCTTCCCCCTCGATTCTACGGAGGGAGAGAAAGTGGGAAAGGTGGATTCGACTGAGGAGCAGGGAACGACATTGTTCATCCAAAATGCATTTTATTCATTATTATTGTCAGCTCGGAATTTACGTCGTGCAAGAGAAAGTTGGATGGAGACAATGGGGAGACGTTTTTCGGTGCATTTGCCATTTTCTCTTTGCTGGATGAATTGTAATCTGAGGGTTCCAACCTCAACTTGAGCATATTTTAGTATTCACTTTTGTGACATAGTGAGCAATTGAGAGTGCGATTTGGTGAAAATTTTCTTAATGTGCTAACATCAGAAATTCCTAAAGATGCAAATTTTTTCATTGGTAAATATATTGTACTCAAATTTCTAATTTGTCAAATAATTCACCGTGAAAACACCATCTTATTAAATTACATACCGAAGTATTCATAATTCAAAAATTCATAAATGGCGCAAAGATGCAACAAATACCTAAAAATCACTTCAAATCTAAAAAAAAATATGTGTAGAATATAATTCCTGAAAAAGGAAAATTCTTATAGAAGGAAAATTCTTAAAAACATTTCTTACGGATATAAAAATGTAAAATTGAAATTCTTAAAAAACCATGCATAAAATTCAATTTCTTAAAAATACTAATACTTTTCACACCCTGTGTAAACCAAATCGTGTTGAATCCCGAGAAAGACAGAATTGTGTTGAGAAAGTGGTGCTGAAAGTGGTCGTGGTTCGTTCTCTCGAAGCGGAACTTTTCCTTTATTCCCGTGCCACACAAGCTGTTTCGCGATGCGTGTGTGGCGGCGTTGATGGGATGCGATGTGTCAAACGGGTCGGAGTGAATGAGACGTGGCAGAAATAATAATAAGTTCCACGCGTAACGGAGTTGTAAGAAATTGAATTCTTCTTTTTTCTGGGAGAAAGTAAATCATGAAATATTGTCAGTTTCCTTCGTTATTGATTGACTTGAACAAGTGATGAAAATGAAAGTTTGGTGAAAGCCGGTTGTAGTTTATGCACTAATGATGCAACGCAGTGTTGGCGGTGAACCAGTTTAACGTGGTTTTGTTGGATGAGTCAAGTGTGTTTGCGCAATTATTATGAAGGGTGTTGACATAGACGATGAGGGGCTGAACGGAGGGGATGTGATAGAATTGGGTGATAATTTTTAACCTAGAGGTGATTCACACACGTAAAATAAGCTGGCAACCAGATCCGTGAGTATATGTAGTTACTATGAGGTTTTACCAATTTGATAAAAATTTATTGCCGAATTGTAACAACAATTTCCAGGAGATTTAAAGTTGTTAGAAATGTGTTATGTTTTAGTCAATTTATACCCGAATGGAGAAATATTTAAGTTTCTCTGAAATATTTTTGTTACCTTTCAATCACCAATATTGACCAGTCACTATTGTGATGTTGAGAAGTAAACCGGACAGATTTTCTACGCGCCAAAATCACGTGTCAATTTGATTAACATTGGAGGCCGACTGAAATTCAAACCGAATCTATCCGGCTTACTTTGAGAATTCACAATATACGTGGTCATTTTTTTGCTATAAGGTTATTATAACAGTTTAGAGAAGTGTATGTTTTGTATTTTCACGAATTAATTTGATTTACACCATCCTTTGTGTTATTGGGAAACACTAAAATTAAAGTAAAATTGAAGTAAATTTCTTATTTACGTAATTGTTAAAATCGACGCCGATCTAGTTAATTTACTAATATGTAAAATTCTGAAAAAGAAATAACTTCGACTTTCAAGCAATACGAATTTAATATTCATAACGGGTTTCCAATTCGAATTGCAGAATTTTTTGAAAGCTTCGGATTTTGATCAAACTAAAGACTTCGTCGAGTTGGAGATGCGAAAGTTTGCAAACCATTTTTCAACTCAGTTTTAAGAACTTCTTGGCGAATTTTGTTTGATTTGTTAATGATGCGATCTCGTCATGGCATTAATTGTTTCACCGTGATGCTTAAGTGCCGTTTACCGTTTTATCTAGAAGTCTTACGTGATGCATTTTTTGTAGGTACACAGCGAGCTTTTCGCGGGTATGCTATCATTTCTATTCAAAAAATGCAAACATTTTCTCACTTCAAAGCAAACTAAAAGTGAAAATATTGCGAAATAATAAGGGTCCCGATGATGGACCACTTTACGCCGAAATTGCGCCTCCTTAGACCCCGTGATGATGATGATGAAGGTAATTTAATCGGGTCATCCTCGTCACCACGACGCGGCCTCATCGTTCAGCCTGCGGTCGGAGAAGGTGGAGAAAGGAGGAGAAAGCCCCAAAATAAACCTACTTTTAATTAAGTGCAGAGTTGAGGCCCATATTTCTCGGGATGAAAAGTATAATGGCGAAAATCTTGTCGGAGAAGGTCTCGGTCGAATAGTTTGACACAACTTTCTCCAAAAAAGATAAGTCGATAAGTGAACCAGGCTTTCGCGTCGTATTGAGGACCGTGCATGGGGGTTATCAAATTTAAAGTTTAATAAAAATTGAGATCAGGCAAGATTATGTGATTTTATGAGAGGTAATTTTACGAAGTCGAAGACATTAATTTTCTTAATTTAACAATTTCCTTATTATTTACAAATTTTTCGAATTGTCTCCAATAATAATGTACTTTAAAATTAGGTTAACCTGCAAAATTCAGATTATGTAATATTTATTTCAAAAATCCAACAAAATTGTTTCTCTTCCAATTTATATTCTCAAATTGTAAACAAACCCCCAAACACCCGTCATCAACCATGTCATTATTTTAAAATGATTCATAAAATATGTGAAAGATTTCCAAAATATTTTGACTACCCGTCCGTGGCCCACATATGTGACCCATGTCACCATTAATAAAATGACCCCGTTGACCCCTTAAATCGATCACAATATTACTTATAATGCACTATCCTTCGCGTATCTAGAAATCTCTCTTTTAATCCAGATTAAATTTCCCCATGAAAAGTATCCCGCTCTGTTATGTCATCGTTTCGTCCATCAAGAAGCCCTCCAGCTTTTCCTCCCGATCTCTCATCCCGATTTGGCTTTTACATCCATCTCCTCCTCCTCCTGGAGAAAGTCAGTCTGTCACTTTGCACGGAAATTGTTCTTCCCGCCGTATGAAGCCAGCCTCTCGCTCGTTCACTATCAGTAATTCAATCTCTGGTGGGCATATTATCTGGATCGCCGCGAGATCTCTAATCCCGAAAGAGGAGGAGATCATCTCTTTT